AAAACTAAATGAAGAAATTTCATTTGACTAAACTTTTCTCTTCTAGTTATTTTCACAAATGATTTAAAGACAGCATACTGTGGGGATGTATGCACACCCATGTTTATAGCAGTGTAATTCATAAGAGCTAAATCTTTGAAACAGCCTACATGTTCATCAACAGATGAATAGATAAAAAATGTGGTATTTATACACAATGGAGTACTACCTGACATAAAATGATAAACTTCAGTCATTTGTAGGTAAATGGATGCACCTTGAATCCTTAACATTAAGTGAAGTAACTCGGACACACAAGCTTAAATATTGTATGGTTTCTCTAATGTGAAAAACTATATATGTATATGTATAGTGAAACAAAAGAGAGATAATAGGAAAAAAAGACAGAAAGAAAAAAAGAAAACACATTGTCATCCAATGTGGACAAAATAGCTAAAAGTGTACCTTGACCTAGAAAACATATTTTATATGTTCTTTGGCCTATTAATCTTGTTTTAAATCTGTATGTATAACAATATATACAATAACAAACTTTCTAAGTTCTCAGATAAATAAATGAATCTCATGCTGGAAAATAAAAGGGGATAGAGGGAAAGAGTAAAAAAGGGAATTGAAATGTGTTACATACATGTAATCATTTTGCACTGCAAATATGAACTAATAAGAGTGAAAAACTGTGACACGTTATCACCAAAAAGAAAAAAAAAGGAAAGAAAAAATGAGAAAAAGAGAAACACAGAGTGAAATTGAAAGAATGGAAAACTACACCCCATTCAACCAGAGCCCACCCCAAGTGGAAGCATTGGTCTTAGTTTTAGACACAGAAGACTTCAGCCTTAACTGATCAGAAGAGACAAGGGTGACAATTATGTGCTGGTAAAGACAGCAGTTCTAAGGAAGAGACAACTGTAAATGTCTATGCTCCAAATGTTTGCAAAAACAGCTTCATTAAAAAAAGGAAGCAAGAATAGAATGTAAAAGGACACGTGAACACAAATAAAATCATGATAGGGAACTTCAATAACCAATTCCCACATAGAGCCAGATTAACAAAATAATTTCAAAAAATGAATATTAAGGTTAAGTCACATCATTGAACACTTGAGGTCAACAGATGTCTGTAGTATCTTTTCCTGCATCAACAGAATACATATTTTTTCTTAGAAACAGATGGTATTTTTTTCAAAATAGACCATACTTAAGTCAAATGATGGTTAAATACAAAAGAACTGAAATAATCCCCTGCATACTATCAAATCATAGCAAAACGAAGCTAGAAATCAATAGCAAAACTAATAATCATGACTATGAAAACACATGAAGATTATATAATATATTCTCAAAAAATGGGTGAAAGAAGATATCAAGGGAGAAATAAAAAGGTTCTCACAATCAAAGAATATTGAAAGTACAACATACCCAAACCAACACGATACCAAGAAAGCAGTTCTAAGATGGAAATTCACATCTGTCAATGCACATAATAAAAGAATAGACAAATCCAAAATAAATAACCTAATAATGTGTCTCAAGAACCAAGAAGAAAAGAATAATTCAAATCAAAATGTAGTAGAAGGAATAAATTATAAAATCAAAGCAGAAATGAATGAAATTGAATATAAAAAACAAACACAAAAGATCAGAGAATCATGGAATTAATTTTTCAAAAAGATAAATAGGTTTGAAAAATCCTTAGTCAAACTTGCGAAAAGAGGGAAAGAAGAAAACCTGTATCAGTGCCATTAGACATGATAAAGGAGAAGTTATAATGCAAATCACAAGACTCCAATAGCACATGAAATGCATGCCTGGATGGAACCAATTGGAGGGTTTGGCAAATAAGAGTATAATAACAGTACAATAAGAGTTTGCTTTTACTGTTGTTATTATCATAGATATTATCACAGACACATATAGTCATACTATATGAGAATAAAATGAAAATACATAGTTGCAAAAACTGATGCATTTAATGCAGCTTTGATTTTCTCAAATTAAATCCAAGAAAATAATAGTTGAATGCTACCATAAAATTCATTTTTAATTGGCATTTTCACAAGACTGCAAATCAACAGCACACTGTTTGATTTTTTGCCCTACTGAATTTAGAAAATAATGCTAGAATATTCTTACTATGTTTATTATTATTTTGAAAATTATAGTTTTCCATGCAAGGGCATTTATTTGCACTTTATTTTTGCTTCTGATGATTATGTTTTATTTTCCCACATCAAACCTCTCTGGGACATGCACAACGTATACCAATATCCTATGACTATTTAAAATTCCTGGAAATCTAACATCCCTGGAGCCCACGGTTCTGCACCTCTGCAGTTCTGCTGGTTGATGAGAGGATGATGCAGTAAAGGCTGGCGGGGAGTCAGAGCCTGTAATGGTCTCTTGAGAAGTTGATAAAATCGTTCTGGCCTCAGCTGGAACCGAAGGAGTCCTGCACAGATGCGGTGCATCGGGACCACGCTTCTGCGGGTCCACCTGCCGGCGTCCTCGTTCTTGCCTTGTGTAAGTAGGTCATGCCAACCTCTTAACACTTAATCTTCTGCTTCTGAATCCAGAAAGCCAGAGAGCCAGTTTCACCACTTACTGCACACATTTGACAGGGAGCATCCTCTCTGGCTCCCATCTCCCCCTCTGAAGAGTAACGTGAGCCGGCTGAGGCTCCCGCCAGGCTGAGTCCTAGGACCACCTGTCAATATTGTCCAATAAGCCATTGCCTGATTCCATCCTATTATTAGAGAGCATATCGATTGCTCATGTCAGTTTACTGGGAAATACATTTACAGATTTAATGTCAAATTGTGACGATGAGTTTGGAAGAATATTGGAGGGAAAATTACAGGCCTGATTATCCATTTGAGGTTTCTATGGGAAGAAAAAGAACTAACCTGTGTGTCCATTCCCAGCACACATGTGTGTGATTTAGAGGTAAGATGTTACAAGTTTTATACCTTTGTAAGAAAACGCATTGGAAGACAAGGAAGATGTTCAAATCTGTTATATTCTGAAGAAAAGGCAATAAAATCTTTATTCTTTGTGGCAGGAAGCTTTTTTTCCCCCAGATTAGTCAAATTTACAGTGGATAAAGAATTTTGGTTGCTAGTGGTTGGGTGGAGGGTAGTTCTGCTTAAATGTTATAGATGTTCAGATTGGAGAAATGAAAAGGGTTTTGGATATAGATACTGCTGATGCTTGTACTAATATGTGGATATACTTAGTGTGATTTATACACTAAACATGGTCAACAGAATGCAAAAATTAATTTGAGAAATTTGCTCAACATCCTACAGTTACTGCAATTCAGTAAGATTTTTAAACTGGTTTGAAGTTCAAAAGGCTTCAACCATGAGAGGGGTTGGAAGAGGGAAGAGTTCTGAGCCCTGTGGGCAAGAAGCCTCTGGAGAGCTGAATCCTTCCTCTGTGTGGCGCAGCCAAGAGCCAGCAAAGGCTCCAGAGCTCTCAGGTGTGCAGTGCCCACTGCAGACAGAAGGGTGTGCAGGCCATGAGTTTTGGCCAGTGAAGCACACTTTTGTCACAAGGGTTGTGTTTGCAAAATGCTTAGCTTTCAGTGAACCAGTTTAAATACCGTAAGCACAGTCCTGATGGTCGCATGTGGGAATGAGGGCTGAATCTGCCTAGTGTGGTATCTTCCCCGCTATCATTCGTTTTAGGTGCTCTACAATTCGGGGTGAAGGGAATGTCCTTGAGCACAGGGGCTCTTCCTCCCATGCAAGTGTGAGAATTAACCAATGTCAGTGAGAATGAATTTGCTTCCACATCTCCACAATGCAGTTATTTGTACTCAACACGATGGAGTAGTCCTGGCAGCACCAGGTCACAGACAGAAATGGCTTTACAGGTGTAGATAGGTTGTGAATGATGATGAAATGAATTCATCTTTTACAGTTGGTAAAGGGTACATATTTGTCATCTACCTATGTATGGTGTATTTGTGTGACTACAGAATAATACTTTTAAGAATTAATGAGAGTGAGCATTTAGCCTTATGTTTGTACTTGCAGGACAAAAACACATTGTTTCAAGTGTAACACTCTGTATAGTGGAACTAAATGCAATGCTAACTCCCAACAAAGTTATGCTCCTCTCTGCAGACTCATTCAGTAATGGTTAGCGTGGACCATGGCATCATTTGGCTTTGAGATCTGCCCAGGGTTCCATGTATCTGGGCGGGTCCCTGAGGCCTGATCTTGCTTCCCAAAGCTCTTTCCCTACTCTAATTTCCAGCTACAGGGACATGAGAGATTTCCTTCACTTTGCACTTCAGCCAATATATTTCTGACTTGGAGCCAGCCAGTGTGAAATAAGGATCTGATGTTTCCAGCCAAATATGACAATTCCTCCTCTAAGTTGTGGGTGTGAGGTATGTTTCCAGCACTCTGGAAGCTGACTGATACCCTGCCTTCCAGGTTCCAGATTTAAGAATGTAAACACAATTTGGGAAGAAAATGGGCTTCTGGATTATTAAATGTCCAAGAAAATTACCCGATATTATTAGGTTGAAAATCCTTTGATATACATGTGTAGTCTTCATTATCAAGCTTTTAGGAAACTAAAATACTGACTTAATTCAGTTTTGAAATCTAAGGAAATGTATGATGTAATACAACCAATGTATCAGTGAGAAAGTATTGGTGTTGTCATTTCTTTGTGACCCCTTAAGGTGGTTTCAGGTAATATAAGATCACATATACACGGTAACTGCAACTTAAAAGAATTTGGATGTGTTATACCAATTGAGCGATGCTCAAACTGTAAGTTGATTAGTATATGAAGTATTGAGTATATGAAAAAACGGAAATGTTATACATGTGTTTATGCTTTTTTGCAAATGTCAGATGAAAAATCTAAAACGTGGTCCATATTTTTTAGCCACCTAATTTTCTAGGAACATGTACTTCACATGATGCATCGAAGGCTGAGACCTCTCTCTTCTCTTTTCCATGTACAACATCACATCTGCAATCATGGACCATGGGAACACCACAGCAGACTTCATCCTCCTAGGCCTCTTCAACCACACCACAGCCCACCAGATTCTCTTTGGGATTGTCCTAGCAGTTATGATCTCCTCCCTCACAGGCAATGGCCTCATGGTTCTCCTGATTCACTGGGACCCCCGGCTGCACACACCCATGTACTTCCTGCTGAGCCAGCTCTCCCTCATGGACATGATGCTGGTCTGCACCACTGTGCCCAACATGGTGGCTGCCTACTTGACTGGAAACAAGTCCATCTCCCTGTCTGGATGCGGTCTTCAGATGTTCCTGATCCCCACTCTGGGAGGTGGAGAGTGCTTCCTCCTATCAGCCATGTCCTATGACCGCTATGTGGCTGTGTGCCACCCACTGCGGTATGCCACCCTCATGAACTGGCCGTTATGTCTGAGAATGGCTTTGGGGTCCTGGTTCCTGGGGGCAGCTGATGGAATCATGCAGGCTGCTGTTACCCTGAGCTTCCCCTTCTGCAACAGACATGAGATCGATCATTTTTTCTGTGAAGCCCCCACGCTGGTGCGCTTGGCCTGCAGTGACACCTCTGCTTTTGCATATGCCATGTACATCTGCTGCGTGCTGATGCTCCTCATCCCCTTGTCCCTCATCTTGATGTCCTACAGCCTCATCCTCGCTGCTGTCCTGCACATGCGCTCCACAGAAGCCCGCAAGAAGGCCTGTGCCACCTGCTCCTCCCATTTGGCTGTGGTGGGACTCTTTTATGGCGCTGCCATCTTTACCTATGTAAGACCCACATCCTACAGGTCAGCAAACCATGATAAGGTTGTGTCTGCATTCTATGCCATCTTCACTCCCATGCTGAACCCTGTGATCTACAGCCTGAGGAACAGTGAGGTGAAGGGAGCTCTGAGCAAGTGCCCGAGCCAGTGCTGCCTTCACTCAGCACTAAGGATGCACTGATCTAACAGTGCAGGGCCCACTCCCACACTCCCAGTATGTGGGTGACCTGAGCCTAAAGCCTCAGCAGTGCTAGCCCTGCCTGGACACATGATCAAATTTCAAAGACCCTGTCTCAAAATTATGAGAAACAAACATAAAGTCAAAGGCCTGGGAATGTAGCTTAGTGTGAAGGGACAAGGTTTAATTGCAGATATTGTAAAAACAATAACAAGAGTAAATTAATGGACTGATTTCTACAACCTCAGGGTGGTACGAAGTGGAATTTGTCCTCTGGAATTTCCCAGAGGACAAGTATGCCGTAACCCCTTTATCCATGAGGGTTATATTCCAAGATGCCTATGGACAACTGAAATTGCTGATGAAACCAGATCCTTTATTTTAATTAACTTTTACCTTAGTCTTGCAAATAAGCACTGTGGTTGTAATTTTTGCAGCTTGATGTCCAACAGCAAAACCAACAAGAATTTTATTTTTTTCCAGCTTGTACATTAGTTTAACCTAATGTTATACTCAGTATATGTTGTTTCCCTGTCCTTACTAAATCAATAACGTTTATCATTTAACTTAAAGAAAGCCTTACAGCTTCTCTTAGACATTTCTGGATTTTTGGCATAACTACTTCTGCATATGGAATAATTACTAAGTTAAATAAACATGACTTGAATGTAAGCCCTATGATGATACCGCAGTGTCAGTGCAAAACAGGTGGGAGCCTGTCCCTTGTGGAAATCAGGAATAAAGGAATGATTTGCATCCTGATAGGGCTGGATGGGAACTGTGCAATATGCTATCATGCTGCCCAAAGGGCACTATGGTTTTGTTTCTGGGATTTTCCATGTGATGTTTTTGGCCTGGTGTGGACTGCAGGTAAGTGAGACAGTGGAAAGGAAAACCACAAATGGGGGGCGGGTAGCTTCTCTGTCTCCACCCAGGATTTATTATTTTCATCTTTCTGGATCTGAATTTTAGGTGAACTGCATATTTACAGTTCTTTTAATAAGCTGTCATCACCACTCAAATTGTGATTTTCTTAAATTTGCAAATTACTAATTCTTATGAAAATGTTTCTACAGAGTATGCCAAAATCAATTCTTACTCCACGAACTAACTATTCAAGAAAATTTGAGAATTAACTGTTAGCCTTTGCTTCACACGGAGGGCTGATTTTCAACATTAGCAAGCTCAGTTGCCAGGGTTCCCTTCCAGGCAATTCCAACAGGGCCTGCACGTGCAGCTGACACCTATCAGCACACCCAGCATGCTTCCACCCAGAGCTCCCTCCTGCCCTTCCCAGTGAGACTGGGACTAAGGGGCTACCATGGGTCTGAATTGCTCCTACCCCATTTGGCCTATTCCAGTCCTCACACTGGTGGAAACCAGCAGTCAGCATTATGCACATTCTGCCTCTCTCAGCTCTGTATGCTCCCAAGATGTCTGGACATCCTTACATTCATCTGTAGTTGGTTCCTTTCAACTGCTCCAAGTCTATTGTCTGAAACGCCACCAAGTGTGTACCCGTTACTTTGCTGATGGACATCACATTGGCTTTTAGTGTGAATCTGCTATAATTAAAGTTTATTTGGAGATCATATACATTTACTTCTCTTAGTAAATCAATGATGAACTTACACCAGATTTCTTTTCAAAGGAGCCTTTTTTCTTAAATTCCTGTCAAGAATTCAGTGAGGTCTATTTACTCCAATATTATTAACCTTTCCACTTTATAATTTTAGTGAGTGTAATAGTTCATAATTATTTTAATTTGTATTTTCTTGATGGCTGAGGATTTTGAAGTAGTTTATTGCCTGAATGTGTAACTTCTTTTGACAAATACCTTTTTTCACTTTTGAAAAACAAAGCAAAATAAAACAGTTTGCTCTTTCCACTGCAGATACATGCAGATTGATGACTCAAAGACTAGAAATGATGTTCACTGTTTTACTTTTTGAAATGCAGTATACACTGCATTATTTGCTATTCTCTTTTCAAAACGGTTTAATTAAATGCCTAAAATTAATTGTTTTAATGAATTGTATGCTTGTGTAATGCATCTCATCTACTTATTTCATTGTGCTTGAAACTCTCAACTTTGCTCTGAGTACAAATTGTAGCAAAAAATTCCATTTTCTTGCAGAATTATGGATTGAAAATCTGAAACTAATTTTCCAAGAAAAATTTTGTGCTGAGAAAATACCTGTCAGGTAAAAGATAAAATTACTGATTGAAGTAGATTTTTAGTTGCTCAGAGTATATATTTGTATCTTTTAGTGGTGAATGATTTTGATCCTACAGATATTTTGAGGAAAGTTCTGGCAAATTGAGGTGGGCTCTCTGGCTGGGGCAGTGGCTGAGTGTCAAAGGGCTCTCTCCTGTGTGCCAGAGGTGAGTTCAGGTGTCAACACAACAGTCAAGAGAAAGAGCAGAAGGGTAAAGAAAAGAAACAAAGCTGTCAATTGTACAAGGAAGCAACATAAATATGCATACAGCATAGAAATAATATTCATGTATTTAAATGTAAAAGTATATATTTGTGTGCACACGTGCATATATTTGTATGTATGTTTTGCTTTTATGTAAGTTTGTATTTAAATATGTGTTCAAAAAGACAAAAATTTTCAATAAAGCATTCATTTTTCTCTTTAATGATTACCACATTTTTATAAAGTGGACTCAGTGTAAATGGTTAGTTTTGAAAAAGGGAGACAAGCTTTGTAGAAAGTCTTTCTTGTCCAACCTTCAGGAGATGGACCGAGCATCTGAGGTTTAAAAGCTTGGGTACAGTGAGGAACATTGGGATAGTAAGGCTGAGCTGTTGAGAGACAGACACAAGTGTGAGCCCGCTGTCCTCTTTCCTCCAGGAGCAGAAGCGGGCAGCGGATGGCACTGCTCTGCTGAATGAGACAGAGGTTCCTGGGAAGGGCTGTGTGACTGCATTGCACTCTGCCTGGGGCTGCAGGACACACAGGGCGGAGCTGCTGGCCCCTGGAGTGTGGCCTCCTCCCTGGGGCCTGTATTGCAGTCCTGCAACTCAGTAACTGTAAGGTGCTCATGCACGTGAGATGGCAAAAGCTTCCTGGCATTGAAGAGGACTGAAAAGGTTTAATTGTGATAAGTGTTGTAAGGACCAGTTACATTTACTGAAGGCTCCCTGACTTCACTTAAAGATTCCACTTATTTGGTAATAATTATTTCGTTGATGTATCAATTGCAGTGGATTGAAACTAAATCTCTGGGATAAACCTAGCCTCCCTTCCCTGCCCACCTCTCTGGAGCAGACAGCCTGAGGTGCAAGTGGACTCCTTCCTGACCACACCCCATCGCTCCAGGCTGCAGGAGGGTCCTGTGATCATGCCCACTTGGGAAGGCTTCTTTGAGGACGAAATATTGAAATACTGCATCAAACGGACTCCCAGACTTTGCCAGTGGTTTGGAATGTGGCATTTCCATGGGTTCAAGTCTACGTCGACACAGCTCCTATTGGTTATTTAACACAATCTCTGTGGACACCACAATGAATGGTAGAGTAAGAAATAGTGCTAGAAACCTGTCAATTGTCCATTTTGACTGTTTCTCATTTGAAAAAATGGTTTTTAACCTTCCTCCTGAACTTTCATCTCCTTCTTTGGAGTCCAGAAGCCAGTCCCCACAAGACATCACCTGCCTTGTTTACATGGAGTTTAATTGTGCCCCAGAGACCAGATTTTCCCAGAAGAAACCTAAGGTACCTAAGACAAGACATTGAACAGTTCCAACCTTCATCGGGCAGTCAGCACATTTCAAATCTGCCATTCAGTCCTCACTGGGGAGGAAAATGACCACATGCCTGTCTAAACTCTAACTTCCACTGCACTTTTGGTGCTAAGTTATTGAAGGTTTACTGTCTGAGGAAAAAAATCAGCAACCTTACAAATTCATAGTGCAATAATAGTCTCTAAAATGTGTTTCAAACTTTAAAAGTTTTCAATTTCTTTCAATTTCATAAAACTCACAGTAAACAGCTTGATTTCATCAAAATTATAGTAGATTCATAGCTTGGGTTCCTGGGATATATTACTCTGTATTCATGTCTTCTTGGGATGGATGATCAAATATATTATAATTTTATTTCAAAGTTAATCAAAGAGCACATTTTTATGACTTCCTAATTACTGCATTCATATCATGGGCCAGGGAATCTTTCTAAGAATTATAGATATTTTTAAATATAATTAATTTCTGGAGGAAAACTCAGAAGAATTAGATGTTCCTATTTGAAAGTGCTTCTATAAATCCCAACTGAGGGACATACAGGCTGCTTCAAAGATTTGTGTATGGTTGTGGGGTTTTAGGAGGCAGGAGTGAGCAATGGGTGACACAAGCGGATGTCTACTTTAGATGAACACTGTCTAGAGAAACTCTCATCTAAAGGTTGAGCTCAGAACAAAGGAAAGGCTCTAGATTTAGGCATTTGGTAGATGGGGGGTGGACTTGCCAGTGGTGTGAAACTGAGGTACAGGAGGTTATAGAAGACAAAGCCCTAAACAGCTTGGCCTTGAAAGAAGACAGAGCTTTGTGAATCATGTGAGAACAGTGTCATGAACTTTGTTTACAAGTCATAATTTCCAGTTTCAATCTGTACCAGAACAACAGGCTATAGCTACAGGGGAGGGGGTGATTTGAGGTGGGGGCAGTGCCCAAGGCTGGGAAACAGTTGTTTTTCTTGAAGTCCTGATTTATTATGAATTGTGCTGCTCTAAACATGGGTATGCATGGATCACTGTACTATGACATATTCAACCCTTTCAGAAGGATACCTAGAAAGAGAATAATTAGATCAAATGGAATTTCTATTTTTAGTTTTTTGAGCAATCTTCACATTAATTTCCATAACGATTGTACTCGTTTGCGTTCATACCAGCAATGTGGAAGGATTCCTTTTTCCCCACAGCCTCACCAGCATATGTTATTATTTCATTTCTTGATGATGGTCATTCTTCTGGGAGTAATAAGTCAGATGCACAAGCTTCAATATTGCGTGGTGTCTTTTATATAAGAAACCACAAAATAAGGACTAAAGCAAAGAAAGATAATAGGAAACTGAGAGATGGATCCTTTCGAAAGAAAGGGACCAAGAGGTGGAGGTATGGTAGGAGAGAGAAAAGGATGAGCAAAGAATGAGGATGCATTATGTACATGCGCCAGCTGCCCCTGAGGAATGTAGTCATCAAATACTGCATATGTGTGCTAATAAAAATGAAGATTGAAAATTGTGATTAAAATGAGCATTTAAATATGCGTTTTGCTCAAGTTACTAAGAGTAAACATCATTACTGCTATGGTTTGGGTCTAGATGTCCCCAGAAGCCTCATGAGGTCAGAGGTGGCATTTGCAGAGGTGGGTGGATCCAGGGCATGTGATGTGGGATTAAGGGCATGGATCACTAAACTAGTCCACTGACTGGTTTGGCACTGCCCTAATCCCAGTTGTCTACATAAAATAAAAGGGGCAGGAAGACAGATGTTGTTAAGGCTCTCTTCTTGGTTTTGCTGTCTTCCACTGCCACTAACTGCTGCCCTCTGCCCCTGTCTTGGAACCAGTGCATTATGGACTGAATTCTCTACACACTGCAGGTTAAATAAACCTTTTCTCCTTTAACATTGGGTATAGGGTATTTTGTCTCAGCACAAGAAAATTAACTAAGACAATTACTTTCCTTGCATGTCCCTGTCCTTGATGTGGGCTTATTCTGGCCTGGGCACCTTATCCAGGCAGCAAATCACATTTGCAAAAAGAAAATCGAGGTGTGTATTTGGTATCATTTGGTGTTGAACAGATATCATGTAGGATTTTGAGGATGTAGGGTCTGGGACACGTGGCACAGAGTGACAAGAACAGGGCAAGTCCTCCAGAATGTCCTTTGCGAGGGCAGAACCCTGGGGAACCACTGCATTCTGGGTAGTGGAGATGCATCTCTTCCTCCTGCATTTCCACTTCAAAGTTTAATATTACCCATAACACATAATTGCACTGACCAATATTGTTGCAATGGGATTTTATAAAATAGATGAAAAGTTTCAAAAACACAAACACATGGTTTATAATTTTACTCAGGTGCATCAAAATAAATATGTGGAAGGTTGTATTCCTCCCTTCCTTCCTATGCTAGACATCATTAATAGTTCCATTTTAAACTATTTTCACTGCCTAATAATGCTAAAGAGACAAGATTTTTGTAATCCTTGACATGTTCCACAGAATCTACCTCCTAACATTCTCTATCATCACTCTTTTATTTTATTTTTAAAATATTTACATTTTGAATCTCTACTGTGAGAGAAATGATGAGATAGTTACCTTTCTGCGTTTGATTTATTTCACTTAGCATTATGAGCTCAAGATTCATGCATCTTCCTCCAAATGACTCAAATGTACCCTCCTGTTTGGCTGAGTAGCGCACCACTGTTTATATGTACCACCTTTTCTTTACCCGCTGTTCTGTGTATGGTCATACCTGCCACTCACACAGCTTAGCCATTATTAACTGTGCTGTGATAAACATTGGCATCCGTGTAACCCTGACCTGACCCCAGAACAGGTACAACAGGAGAAAGAGAGTTTCCGTTTTAGTTTTTTGAGGAATCTCTGAACTAACTCCCACAATGGTTTTGTTCATTCATCTTCCCAACAAATATTTAAAAGTGTTCTTTCCCCCCTATATTCCTCAACAGCATTTTTTTTCTGAGTTCATGATGAAAGCTATTTTTTCTGGATTATAATGGAATTCCAATGTTTGCTTTTTTCATAAAAATTTTTCTAATGGTCAAACATGCCAAACCTTCTCCATATGCTTCCTGACAATTTCTATTTCTTTCTAGAGATGTGACTGTCCATTTCACCTGCAATCTGTTGAAGGCTTTTTATTTTTTAGTTTCTGGAGTTTCGAAGTTCTTTTATGTTCTAGACATAGAATAAGGCCCACATCTGAGGAACAGCAGGCTTTTTTCCTATTCTGTCACTAGATACTTCTCTCTGTTGTTTTCTTTGATCAGCAGAGGGTTTTTAATTTGATTTAATCCCAGTTGTTGATTCTTGGTATTATTTCCTGTGTAATCCGAATGCTCCGTGCCTACACATATGCGATCAGAGTTTTATCTGTTTTATCTTCCAGCAGATTCAGTATTCTGCTTTTATATGTAGGGCTTTTAGCCATTTTCATTTGATTTCAGTTCGGTGTGAAAGATAGGAGGCTATGTTTATTTGCTAAATGTGGGTAACAAGTTTCCTAGCACAGTTTGCTGAAAAGACCATCTGATCTCCAGCTTTTGTGTGAAAGCATTGGGAAAGATTAAGAAGAAAATGTTAAGATGGGAAGCCAAGTTGTGTTGGATTTTAAAATAAAATCAGCTTCTCTCATTGTCATTGACCATTAAGAAAGATCCTCATGCCAAGGATTCAATCAGATAAGGACTGTGTTAACTTTAGAGTAATCTGAGGCATTATGAAAATGTTTAGGCAGGTGAAAAACTCTAAGCATCTTAGTGACATGTCTGGATGATTGATTTCCAAACAATCAAAGGAGGAAACAAATTAGGACTTTTTGGAAATCATTAGTTCAGGTAGGACAGCAGGGGACCATACAGTAGGGAAGGAGCTTCTTGGCTCAGAGAATGTATAAAAAGTTTCCATGGGAAGCTCACAATATTATAAATCAAATTCATCTTACAGAAGCATTTCCAGTTTCAGTTAAAGAAGCTAGATGACACAGTCACTCAACTAGAGATCATTTTACTAGCACATATTAATTGCACAAATTAATGGTACTCAGTGTGATATCTGCAAAAAAGCATACACCATGCTGTGGTAAACATCTACGTTCCTTGTTTCTCAATTTCCCCACCCAGCCCCGTACCCAGTACATAGTGAATACCAAAGACCAATTGGCTGTAAATGCTTATGCTTATTTCTATATTCTCAATTCTGTTCCTGTGATCAGTGTGTCTCTTTTCATGCTTGCACAATGATTTGTCATTACTATAGATTTGTAATACAGTAAAGCAACATGACACTTCCATGTTATGGTATATTTTTCAAGTTTACTTTGATGAACTCCAGTATTTTGTGGCTCCATACTAATTTTCAGAATTTTGTGTTTATATAATATGTTACACTCATGTTTTAGTATGGATTGCTTTGAATCTTTGGGATAGTATGTACATTTTTTTCATTTTCAGAATTTAATGTTGTAACACACGAAGGAGGAAACCTTCCATTTTAAGTAATCATTAAAATAAAAATATAAATAGCCTTTCTAGGAACTATATCATTTAGGGTTCACTAGAGGAACAGATTCAATATAAATATTATCCAGTACTGTGCTCACAAGTCCTTTAAGTGTTTTGACACTTTTAATCCATTCAAGTTACCTTCACAATTAGCTCTAATTAAGTACTCTTTTAAATTAACTACTTAAAAAGTAGAGGAAGTTACAGATAAAGAACTCAAAAACCTAATGGTCAAAATGTTTCAATAGTTCAAGGAAGAAATATAAGCAAATTAATTAGATGTTTACTGAGCTTAGTGAAGATTTTAAAAATAGGTAAAGGATTTCTGTATTAATATGTTCAATGAGTTGACACAAAGCTTAAACTAAAAGTAAGCCATAAAAGACATGAATGATCATTTTGGTGAAGATTAGAAATTATTAAAAAATCAAGCAGAAATTCAGGGTATAAAAATTCAATTGCAAATACGGGGACAGCTTTGAACAATGTGGGGACAGAAAGTCAGAAGTTGAAAATAATATTGATTTAGGAGATCATGTTATCAGTACTACCCTAAAAACAGTGAGGCCTTGTGGAATCTGGATCCAACCGTTTCTAGCTGATTAAAAAAAAATCCAAAAACAAAACACAAACAAAGAACATTGAGAATTTTTTTTAAAAAAGGGAAACCTAGAAGGTGACTCCAAAGGAATAAAAATTTAATCACTGAAATCATAGAAAAACATTTACAAATCTGGAAAAGAATTAACATTTAAGTTCAAGAGGTACATAAAACTTCAAATAGCCAGAATCAGAAGAGTCTCTTCATGACATATCATCAACAAAATTTGAGAAATTCAGCACAAACTGAGCCCTAAAAGCTGGAAGAGAAAACCAAAAAGTTACCTACAATGTGAAGACTGTCAGAATAATAGCTTCCTCAGCACAAGCTTTAAAGACCAGGAGAGCTTGGA